ATCGCAAGCGTAATCATCGGAATGGATCGAAAGATATACAACAATGTAGTCCTTTCAGTCGTGATTTGAATGATTACCAAAACTTTTGAAAAAACCTCCCCAGTATTACAAAAAAAACGGTTTTAATTTTTCGAGTTTTAGAATAATTTCGAGCGATTAAAGCGATCGAGTAAAGCGATAACAACGCCAATTAAATTGGTGATTTAGGCTATAAAACACATTATTTTTAATGAAAACAAGTCTAAGAAATTTCCTATAGCGCTTCCTAAGCGATAATAACTTCTATTGAATTTTTTTGAACTTTATTTTTGTTTTTGTTTGTTATGCCTTTTTTGAATACAGCTGTTATAGAGTTCGCCTAATGTGCTAACTTTCTACTTTCTACGGGTGTCAGTGGTTCTCCCATCGCACGACACACACGACACTACACTAATTTAAAGAACTTTTTTCTAATTTTTGTTCATGTGGTCGTAGCGTTGTGCTGCTTGCACAGCAACTGGCTATCCTTGATTAAGGTATGATCTTATTTATCGTCAAATATCGATGAAAGCAAGCAGTTTCCCAGCCAATTACACAAACAGTTCGTCACACAGAATCACATTTGCTACCCTATGCAAATGTGATTCCGTGTGACGAACTGTTTGTGTAATGTAGCTTGCGATTGTTCTTAAGATGAACTGCAATGATAAAAATGGCAAAAACTGGAAATAATTCACACTATTATAGACGGAAAAAATTTGAAAACTGATACTCAGTGGAAGAAAACATTACAAAAGCTAAACAACAACATTGTTCGCAAAGAAGCTTAGTCCTATCAGTTCTTGAAACATTGACAAAATTGAATGAACTCTACGGCCAATTATTTAATGTTTCCGTTAAAAATTTTCATCTCAGAAATCTGCGTTGCATGAAGTGTTGCAGGAACTGTTAATTCGAAATGTTGCTACAAAATTCGAGAGAAAATGAATAAAACTAGACTAGTGATTTAATTTTGGGCATCTCAAAAACCCTAGTAAAATTTAAAAAAAAAAAAGGCAGTGTAATTTGGTCTCGATATTTAATGGAGAATCATAATTTCATGAAGAGAAAAGGATTTTGGAACAATAAAAGCAAAACTATACGAGGCGAAGCTGCACTTCGCTAAAAAGAGCAACAAAAAACGGCAAAAAAAAGAATTTTTAAATATGCAAGAAAAAACGAGTTGAAATAATTGAATCGCCGAATAACTTCGACTCTGCGAGATTATAACCACGGACATATTTACCAAAACTCAGTTGCCGTAACGACCAACAATCCACCCCTGTTTGGATTACACTACTTCCAGACATTCTTTAATAGGATTTACCAAACAAGATAGATGCCTTTTGTTGAACCAGTAATAGCGAACGCTGTTTGAAATCACCAAATCGAAAACTAAATGCACGACCAATTGAACACAAAATGGAACTCAGACATGTTCTCCATTCAAAACAAGATCGGATCTCATAACTTGAGCCTGTTAAAATTGAGTGCACAAGATTCTCGCAGGAAACAGAAGATGTTATTTTGAAGTTTTTGCTAACAACCGATTTTTTTTCCGGGTTATTATCAAAGTTTTTACGTTACGTATTTGCAATAAGTTTCAGTAACTTTCAAGCACTGAGTGAAAATAGTAATGAGCATCAAACCACGAACTTCTGGATAACGACTCACGGAGGCTATCTCTATCTCTATCTCTCTCTCTCTCTCTCTCTTTCTCTTTCTCTTCCCCCCCCCCTCTCTCCTCTCTCTCTCTCTCTCTCTCTATCAAGCTCTCGCTCTCTCTCTCTCTCTCTCTCTCTCTCTCTCTCTCTCTCTCGCTCTCGCTCTCGCTCTCGCTCTCGCTCTCTCTCTCTCTCTCTCTCTCTCTCTCTTTCCCTATCTGACCTCTCTCATACTGTCCCTCATTAATCAGTTCACAAGCATGTTGTTTGTTTCGCACAACTCAAAACAAACTAGAGATAATGACACTAATAATTCAAAACTTCACAGCAAAAGCCCTTTCCTAGAAATTTATTCTCATCATTGAAAGATAAAAAAAATGGCTGTGAAACTTACATGTCTGAAAAAAGTCGACTCACACTTTTTTCTAATCAGAATGAATAATTTCTATAGGAAAATTAATTGTGATCATTAATTCATTCATTTCAATTATTTTGAAACTTGAAGACAAACCATTAAATGGTTTAAAAAGTGTTTTAATTGTTATCTGAAAGCAAGAGCTACGGAGTTATGGTTATGTGCAACAGGAAAAGCAAATTTAACAGTCACTCTGGCAGCCAGACACCTCAGAGATTTACAAACAAGCCAAATGCTGCACAAAACGTTTGAAATGTTTTAGAAATGAATTGTGATCAAATTCCTCTTAATATTCACAAAACGACAGCGAACAAATTAAGATTGAAATTGTTTGACACTTTGGTGCAATAAACGTGAGCTTCGGAAAGTCCCGAAAATAAACAAAAAATTCTCATCAAAATGGAATCATTTCCTTTTTTTGAAATCTGTCAATCAAATACCTGTCAACTTTCTAGGTGATTCTTAATTCGTGAGAAACCTTCGCCCAAATATCATATCATCCATAGCGGTTAAGAGGTTAAGAACTATTGCCGTCACGTCACGTATAAGCAAAAACATAACTTCAAAACTTCAGTTCGAATCAAAGAACGGCATTATCAGTGTCAAAAACTTATTAACAAATTTTATTTATCAATGGTACTATCAAAAAACGTAACAAAGCGTACGCTGTCATTCAATCAGTGGATAAAACTAAAATATTTCAAAATAAATTGATAGCAATAACTTGAAACATAGCCAACAGACATGAACGCAATCCGAGTCATGAACGGCGGCAGGAAAGAAAACAGACATGTTTTTTGAAAAAACTTATGAATTTCGAACTTGAAAACAAAGTCTTTAAAATAAAAATCGCCCAATCTAAAAACACTGTATAAAAGTTTTGTTCTGCTGGTAAATCTGAAAATTGAATTTTACTTTGGAAACTAGCCTAAATTTCGAAACCAAATTTTAGTGCGAACAACTTTTAGAGTGAAAAAACTTTCACTTTTTCCTGAAAAAAAATCACGAAGACCTATATAAGAGTAACCACTACGTTCATGACTCTTAAAGATAAACAAATTCTAGGATTTTTAAACACAGTCGCAGCGGAGCTTCGCAAAACTTGTGCTACAAAAGAATATGTCATTTTTCACAAAAAAAATAAATGATTATATTTCAACTCAAGCAAATGATTTAATATCAAGGGCGCTTGTTGTAATCCTTTAGAAACTCTTGATATCAGGCAAGTCAACATTTTGAATCATTTATAAAGAAAACTCCGTTCATCGCTCTTTTATACGAGAAAAATGATAAACTAAACAAAAATTTGCTGAAAAAATTTATTTACACTCATGAAAACAAATTATCGAAATTGAATTTATAAAAAATTTTTGGCCAATCCTAGAACTAAAAAAATTCTTTTTTCATATCTAGAAGATGAAACAATGATGATGATACAAAATTGTGGTCTGAAAATTCCCAAAATATACAGAGAAAATGCGCAAAATACTTCAAACAAAATTAACTACAAGCCCATCAGGAACATTAGAACACAAGCATACTTTATTCGATAAAAGACAACTTTAAGCCTTCCTTAAGATACAAGCCTACGATTCCGTATAACTAAGAGATGAAAAGAAAAACAAATCTGAAAAAAATATATTTATTTTAGAATAGTTGAATCAAAACCTTCCATACAGTTGCCATAAAAATAATTTGCAGAAAACCTATAAAGACTCTTGAAAATTTCAAAATTAACCCAAATAAACCATTCCTAACATACACGCAGTTTTTAAACAAGGGTATGATGATTTGACTACAAATATAGGTGAAAAAAGCCCGTTGTCGAACAAGAAATAAAAAAAACTCATATACTCTAAAAACATTTAATCCAGAAAAACATAGCTATTGAATACGCTGGCAACACTTTAATTCTTTAGCGGGCAAAAAATAGTCACATCAAAATTAGAAAATTATCAAAAAAAAACATTTTCCGGAAATTTTATTGGATTAAAAAATAATCAACCATATTTCAAACAACCCAAATTGTTATTACCTGGAATCAATTGGCGATGAAAATTAATCAACGAGTATAATTAGTTTTTTTACACTTATTCCAAAAAGTTAAGACGACAAATAATAACTAGAATCTATGCAGCCGAAAAAAAATCTGACATCTAGTTGGAACAATTTTTCACAAGTAAAAGAAATTTTTGGTAGCAGAAAAACCAAAAATGCTTAACTATAGTGCTCAAAGAATAATTGAATAACTTTATAAAAGATTATTGAAAAACTTAATGAAATGAAACATAAAGTAACTTAGAAGACAAAAATTATGACAAAATCCACATAGCCAACAATAAGCATATTTTCTTCTGATTTTTTTGAGATTTGGTACATTTAGTATAGTACTGAAGAAATAAACTAGGAAAAACATTCGGATGATAAAACAAAACTATGGATTTATCTGTCTACCGTGACGTGCTGCAGTCCTCTAGTAAACAAATTCAAGTAGGGAAAAAAGTCGGCTGCAATACGGTTGCTTATCGGAAGAGCAAATATTGCTCGACATTTTAATCCGGCGGTTCGTTGTGATACCTGATGTTGCGTGGAAAAATTGGTAAAAAAAACCACGAGTATCCTGCTCACGAAATTAACCCAGCTAAAATATGTTATAATAGAATAAATCAAGAATTCAATTTACTATAACGAGAGGAAAATTTCAGCAGTTCAGATAAGTCAAGCTCAAGCCTTGATCGACTCCATGCTCGGTATCTGTAAAATCACGTCCGTTTCTCGATTAGTGTTAATAGCATAATCCTATGCACTTTGATAGCATTTCCATTTCGTTCAGCACTAGATTTCCATTTGGCAGAAGAGTAAATTAAAGTGAGGTTTTAAAAAATATTTGTAGTGAATCTTACCTTTCAACCAAAAACTGCAGAGCAAAACCAGATTAACATCAGTAAACTGTCGGTTCAGCCTTCTTCATTGATCGATTTGAGTACTTCACGCTATAGTAAATAGTGCAAAATGCAAGAGCATCAACATAGGAGTAAATTGTTTGAATAATTTTTTAAAAAGATTCTTCAGGCGAATTGAAAATCAATTTAATATGCGAACATCTTGTATTCTCAGGGACAGTTTGAAAGGTATGCTTGAAAACTGAAGTGTAATCTGACGTTTCAAAAGCGTTTTGTTTGAATTAGCAGCCAAAATTGGGTGAAATTTGAGCAGAGTAGCATAAAAAAACGCCACCGGAGTAAATTACAGCATTATTGTATTTGTTCATCTGAGCCGGTGAAAAGGAATTTGATCAAAAGCTCGCGTCTTTATTGCTTCAAAGTGAAATGTAGTGGACTGGACTGAATGAATTTAGTGTGAACATGGTATGAATAAAGTAGAAGTTCAAACGGGTTGGCTGCTTAAGGGATAAGATGTTGGCTATGGGTTCTGGAAATGAAGAAAGTAACTAGAGTGTGTAGTGGTAATTTAAGCCCTGGTGTTAGGGACGGACAATGGTTAATGGACGGGCAGGCTAGTTGGTATGTTCCCCACCAAAAGCGGAACAGGAATTTGACTTGACTATTTTCGAAGCTGTCCTGCTTGTATTTTTAGCCGCTTTTATTTTCCACCTTGCTGCTAACGAAATAGAGCAGATTAAAGCAAAAACTAGAGTAGATCATGAATTCAATGGACCAGCGCGGCGGGCAAATAAGATTTTTGGTAACAAAGAAAATGAGTAAAATGGAGAAAATAAAAGCGATAAAAACAGAATTAAGAAGTAAATACTAGAAACAACGAATCGGGGCATGGCAGCGGGAGGCTGATGCTGAGAAGCGTTTGCAATAGAAGTAGGGTTGTAGGAAGTTAGAATTGAAAATTAGTAAAGCCGGCTGCCGACATTTACTCTAGCTTTTCGTCTTTATAATCCGCTTCTATCCTCTCCATATAACCAAATCAGTTCCCTTTATACCTTTTGCCCAAATGAAGCGTTTCAATGCCTGTCCTCTTTTTTACTACTGTGTATGAGATTGTTAGATTGCATTTCACTCTGTTCCAACCGACTTTGGCCGATTTTGGTACGAAAAAAGCACGAAAATCACGCTAAATCAGGCCGGACTAACGAAAATGCGCGTCACTGAAATGGCAAATGAGTGGTATGGGAAGTTATATAGGCTTTCTAAAAGTACCTATCATTCAGCAAAGCTTTATATTTTCCAGCCAGCTTGCGTCGTAGTTGGTATGGTATTAGAACAACGTGAGTTGAAATTCCATTGGTGCGACGGACGTTTATGGTGTAATTCCCTTCTCCACTGTTTCAATTTATAGGATTGGCCACAAAATACGTGAAAAAATTACAATTTATTCAATCTGCTTAATCTGAGCGCCAAATTTTGCATTTTGTTGCAAATTGGAGATATGATAACATTATGCTATGCTATAAAGTAGACAAATTATCATTGTATAAATTATCCAATACGTCCTCTAAGCAGCTCCAGTACTCTTGTCAAAGTCAGTGAACGCCAATCGATGTCACAACAAAAAAACTGCAAACGCAAAAAGATACAGAAGATCCAATAAGACGACGAGACATGCGTTATGTTTAGAGAATGAAGATTGAAAGTAAAATTATTCATGTCAAAATTATACTATATCGGCCCAAAATTGCGAAGCATCTCAAGTATATTCAAAAAGGAAAAAAATCTAACAAGAGGCGAAGCTGAGCTTGTCACCACTTGCGATACAAAAATTAATGAATATAATTAAGAGCAAACGAAACGACAAATCAAAAAATGAAAAACAACCATCAAAAATCGTTTAGCGATTCAAAGAAAGCGTAGCATTGCAAGCTACCAAATAGACAATGAGATGCAAATATCAATCAATTCTCAAAAATTCAATCTCAGAAAAACAGACTAGAACCACAACTACTATCCTTAAGAAAGCGTTTTGAATTTTCCGTTCACTAGGCCAACAACACGTGGTTAGACGCCATTTGATCAGAAAACAAAAAATACCGAGAAATTCTTGTCATACAAAAATCAACATTTTACTTGAAAATACGAAAAATTCAATCTCAGAAAAACATACGAAAAATAAAACCACTGGCATTCAGCAAAATTTAAGTAATTTCCGAGCATTCGCTAAGCCAACAACACGTGGTTAGATGCCAACTAATCAGAAAACCAAAAAAAATGCCAAAGGAAACTGTTGTAAAAACAGCATTTTTTTTGGAAATACGAAACTTAAGTTACAGAAAAACAGACGAGAAACATAACCCCTAGCAATAAACAAGCCTTTAGTATTTTCCAGGCATTCACTAAGCCAACAACCATTGGTTAGACGCCAATAGATTCGAAAAGAAAAAGTGCCAAAGGAAACTGTTGTCATCCAAAATGCGATTGAAAAGTTGGAACTTTTATTTTTTTATAAAACCACCGGATTTCATGTAATCAAAACAGAAATAATCAATTTAATCGTTAAACCGATATAGAATAATTTCATAAAACCAACAAAGCATGAGCATAAACCAATCAGGTCAAAAAAAATTTCTAAGCAAAAAAAAACGGAAAATATACCACTCAGGGATAGTTAAGTAAAAAAAACCACAGGAATAAATCAGCACCACTTGAACATACCATGAAAATTACATACAGCACAGAAAAAACTTCGCCGTGTTATCTACGACGACAAAAGATTGAAATACATTTTTTTATGTATTTGGAATAAAAAGTATTTAAACGTAAAAAAGCATTTGGTACAAGTTTTAAGCACTGAGCATAAATATTATTGGGCATCAAATCACGAATTTCTGATTAACGAGTGACAGAGGCACAAGCCATTTGACTTCTTTCTCTTTACTCTCTATCGTGCTCTCTTTCGGTCTCGCGTGCTCTTTCTTTCTCTCGCCCCAAATTCTCTCTTTCTCTCTCTCTCTCTCTCTCTCTCTCATACTGTTCCCTCTTTAATCCGATCACAAGCATGCTGTTTATTTCGCACAACTCAAAACAAGCTAGAAATTTTAACGCTCATTCAAAACTTACAGCAAAAACATTTCCCTCAAACTTCTTATCGTCATTGACTGATAAACAAATGGCACATGGAAATACACTCAACTTTGAAAAAAATCACAAGTCAAACCGCGAAAATGAGCGTGAAAAAAATTTTTCTTGAAAAAAAAAACAAAATCAGCAAGACCTTCATAAGAGTACTCACTTCAGTTCAGTTCAGTTCAGTCGCCTTTTCCACCTCGTATAAGGTATTGGCGTCACCCATGTAGAACCGTCCGCCCATGTAGAACCGTCCACCCATGTAAGAAAGACGCGACGGTACACGTTGACCAGTTTTATTAGTTTTTCTGCTTTTTTCTTCATGATCCTCTCGTACGAAAACTTTACCCCACCTGGCGGCCTTTTCCAGGATGGATCTGGTATGGCCATGAATAGGATCTTGGGGTATCGACAGGAATCCATGCGCAGAACATGCCCGAGGTATGTCCACTGTCTGCGCCAGATGGTCTGCGAGAACGTCTCTACTTGATCGCTCTTTCGCAGGACCTCGGCGTTGGATACCCGGCCACACTTCGTTTTGGTGACTATATGAAGACACTTCATATAGAATACGTCGAATCTATGAATATCGGCTTGGATTACGTTCCAGTTTTCAAAAGCGTAAGAAGCAATTGTGAAGACACTGACCGTCAGAATAAGGATCTTGATCTTTGCATTGATATTTGATTTCGCGAACTGGGATAACTGGCTGAAAGCGGCCCAGGCGAGATTTAAGCGCTTAGTTACGTCAGCCGCGGTAGAACCGTCTGGGGTTATCTGACTACCAAGGTAGCAGAAATTGTTCACGGCCTCGACTCCCACCCCATTTATATCTTTTGTACCGGATATATCAGCGGTTTTCATGAATTTCGGTTTCTCGCAGTTTATATCTAGCCCGAACTTTGCTGCCTCGTCTGACAGGAGAGGTCATCTGACTCATTACGTTCATTACTCTTAATAATAAAACATCATCGATTTCAATTACAAATGTGTAAGACAAAGTGTTTACGAAAAATAGTCTAGGTCCCGATTACAAGACTTAAGCTTTCGAAAAAGTAAAAACTGCAAAACAAAATGGTATAAATTTGGGAAAAAAAACTATTTGCACTAACACAAATTTTACAAAAAGCTTTCAAAATGCTAAGAAGAAGCCACACCTTCCTGCGGGAATTAAGCCGACAACAATAAGCAGACACGAAAGTATATTAAACTCGAAGACTTTCAGTTTCCACAAAACACAGGTACCACCCAACTGGAATTAAATTTCTGGAATTTGTCGTCTGAACCAATGGTGTTACCCTTGCACCAAATGCCCAAAGAACTCTTCGAATTTATAAAGAAAATAAACTCAAATATTAAGAAAACATGAAATTCAAATAGTAAAACACGGCTAAATTTCTGGGAACTCAATTACTTGCTCAAAACCGGAACACACTGAAAATATTTTTTTGAACTTGAGTGAGGAAAAGCCTATATTTTCAGCATTTTTTGTGAAGCAGCAACTAAGCGGACAAAAACCAAGCACACAAACAGAAGTCTGACAACGATTTTTCACGCGCGGACATTTTTCCGATTACAAAAAAGGTCCTGGCAGGATTCAAACCTTTGTCTTTGTAGGTAGGTATCTTACCTCTTTGCCACATGAGCATATTCCTGTCTGAATTTTGACTTCATCTGAACCAAAGATGAAATGATTCTGTTAAACTAGTTGTTAACCCGAAAAAAGTCAATCTTCCGATGTGATAGCGCTTGCGAATCGCAAGCGTAGATAAAATAATTCAAAAAATTTGAATATGAAACTAAATTTTACAATATTTTCTGGACGAGAAAACTAATCAATTTAAAATGAAGATAGCAACTAAATTAAACCAAAAAAACTGTTACATCCAAATATATATATATATAAATTTGATATCTTTGAAAGCTTGAAACGGCAAAATGAGGAACTCCAGAGATCTAAATTGTAAAACTTATATGAAATTAGAACAATAAAAAATTCGGCTCATCATAGAAAGTTCGAAAAATGGACTTATCAGTAGTTTTGAGTACGAGTGTTAAGAGCGGACTCTGATTTGTACCATGGTTCAATTGCACCAAAATCGGTCGCGATTGTACCGAAAATATTCAACTTGAAATCTGAGTGTTCAATTTGCAATCCAATGACAAGTGAAACCAATTGACTTTTGTTCAAACGTGTTCTGAGCTTGCCAACATGAGGGTACAACTTTATACAAAAATTGTATCCCCTTACAGTTGCTGTGCCCACGTCGATCTGAAAACGAGGTAGTTGGCTTTGTAGTCTTTGACACAGAGGCGAAGCTTCGCTAAGCAAACACTTGCGAATACATGACAAAAAGTAGCTCTATAAAATGCAAAAATAAAAATTACAAATAAGCCTCGAATTAGTAAAAATTCGAACCTGCCACCAAGCAACTAAGAGTCTCACACACTCACCACTCAGTCACGATAGCTTAATAGACACCAAACACTAGCCATTAAAGATAAACCAGAGAAAATATGCTATGCAACTTCCAATGCTACAGTTAAATTTCCAAAAAACACTTAACGAACACTTTTAATTGCGAGTTCGGTTAGAAAAAAAGAACGTTCGTAATAACACACTATGCTGATCGCAAGTGTAAACAATTGAACAGTTTGTTAGTATTATAGCGACAATTTTTTTTGGTGCGCACAAAAAAAAAATACTACTCTATATTGGAGTTTTAAATTATTGGACGGATATGCATACAATACTAGAGCAACTCAGGGGCGGATTTAGGGGGGCGGACGCCCTTCCTCAAGTATTCGACCCCTTCCGACCCAAAGGGTCCCCCTTTGAACTATTTTGAGGTATCCATATTTGGCTGGCGGATTCTAAAATTTTTCTAAAGGCGCCAATATATACTACTTTTAAGTAGGAGCGTGCGCAGAAAAAACGCGATTTTTTGGTAAACATTTTCCAATCCCCCCCCCCCCCCTCGAGAAAATCCTATATCTGTCCCTGCTGCAATTAAGAAAATTGTTTAATCAATTAGGAAGTTGAAAATCCAGTTGCAGGAAATTGAAAAGAATCTAAATTTTTCCAGAAGTTGATAATTTCCTGTAATCTGCAACACTTTTTTTATTTTGTCCCTAATGAATGCCCCCATTGGAAGTCGAGTAAACAAGAGAAAAAAAAGAGCAGTTACCTGATAGAATACGATCAAAAATT